ATTTTTATTTGATAAATTCAGACTGAAATTAAATAGCCCATAGTATGAGAATAGTCAGCGTGTCCGTCCGTCCGGTTGGCTGCTGACATGATAAATTTTGACAGCAGAGTCAGATTGCGATGAAACTTTCTACACAGCTTAGTCTTGACAATGTCTCGGTCGAGTTCGAAGATGAGAAGGATCGGCCGAGCTGTTCCTGCGTTATTGCAGAAATACCCATTTTTTCCTATAGCTTTCTGTGGAAAAATGGACCCATCGCGACTTTCGTAAAAGACTTTTCCTATCATAGTCAATTAAAAGCCCAACTATTATATACCATTCGATAGAGAATTTCAAGAACTACAAAATGATATATAAAACATAAAGAAACAAGAAGGATGACTTACCAATGACAAGGACAATTAAAGAGAACTAGGTTATATTTTGGTCCACGATCTAATTGATCCACAAATAGAGCTTTATCTTCCGGTCACACTGATGATACTTCGAGGTTTTCAGATATGGAGAACTCGAATGTGTACTGCACTTCCATCGAAATACTATTAGTTGCGCCGTGACCAATAGAAATGAAGTTATAGGAAAAACGACTTTCTTAGGGTAAATCAAGGGAAAGAGTTCAAACTTGAGCTCTATTCGGCCCATGTCCTATTGGTTTGGCAACGCGCAATAGAAATCAACATTTTAAATGGTAGATTTCACAGTATAATTTTGATGTTCAGACAGTCTAGGATGATTGATTTGTATGATTCACTTTTTGAAGTACACATAACTCTCGGATTTAAATCCGAAGTTTCCGCATTTATTTCAGATAAAGTAGATTTTTTTTTTCTCTTTTGATAGGCAGATCAAGTTTCTCCAAATAGAAAGAAGAAAGGAAGTAATTTAAATTGAGATACACAATAAGCACAAACGACGTACTTTCACTTCCTCTCTGTTCCTCTTACAGATGAATAACTCGAGAGTTGCCCTTTCAACAGTCTTATCTTCCATAAGATAAAAAATATAAAACAAACAAACAGTGTGAGTTGTATTAGATAAAAAAAAGGAAGTGGGTTGGCGTTGAGAAACAATATATATATATCTCAGTTTCTTGAGAAGAAATCACAAAACAAGCTCCGAAAAAGGGTAAGTTAGAATATCAAATCCGATCAAATTCTTGTGATATGTACCATCCTTACGTCGACTAAGTGTGCGTCAGAGATTAGAAACTCATCTTCTGATGCAATTTTGGTTGCTGAATTCAGAAAAGCTTTAGACGAAAAACGTTATTCACAGAATTCTCTAGGAGTGAGAATTTATTGTTATTGTTACAAATAACAATAACTTCTCACCCTAGAATCTTCTCTTAGTAAAAACCTACATTTCTGCTACTTTTCGGTCAAATCTATCCTAAGGATGTAGAGCTTATATTGGTGAAAGGAACTTTAGTAGAACCTTCAATTTCATCTGAAATGAAAAATGTCGACGAGATCTACAAGATTAACCAAAAGACTTTTATGTCCTATATGCCTAAAAGAACGTAGAGATTTCTAGAAAGCTAACTAAAGGGTCACAGGCACTATAGTGACTTTTACAGGACTTTCAGTCGATAGCCCGTCGAACTCTGAGTAAAATGAGACATTTCCAAAAACTTAATGGCTTTTTATTCGAAGTAAAATGAGCAAAATACAAAGAATGGTTTATACACAGTCGAGTCTCTAGCTTGATTTAAGTGTTTGATACTTCTCTTTATATTTTCGTTTCTTCTACTTGTCTATCAATCCTGGAACGTTAAGAAAGGGTTTCATTTTGCACAGAATCCGAAGAACTATCGATTGGTGGTTTTGGAAAGTTCCTACAGTTTCTGAAAAACTTTTCAAAATTTTCTGGAAAACAAGTTTTTATAAAAATTCTAGCTTTGTACAGATCTGCTGTATACAAATTGCAAATTTCACCGAAATGAAGCTTCTCTGAAAGTTCCGTTGGCAGCTGTAAACTTCATAATGTACACTGTTTTTGTTGAAGAAGTATTTTGCATATAACTTTTTTCTGAGTGAGATAGCAAGTTTGGGTGTTGGCAATTAGATTTAGCCATCGAAACTGCAATAGGAAATCTATTTTTTATTACTTTCACACATACGTTCGTAGAACGTGGTATGTTTCTTGTAGAATTACGCATGCAAATTCATATTCTACTCTGTGCAACAGCTATCTTGACTGTAACACAGTCAACACCAATCGTCATTACACGTAACGATGTGAAAGATGAAGGTATTACCAGTCAAACAAATGTTACTCATGTTCAGAACCGTGCTTATTTTGTCGCTGTGAAGGTACCAAGATCAAAGCGGCAATGGGGACCAGGAGTTCACCCTCTAGATGTGCGTTTAAATCGACCAATCGTGGGTCCTACAATACCGTTGGATGAAAGAACGTCAATATTTACTGGCGCTTATGTTGATTCCCAGGGTAACATCGATGGTGGTCGAATAGGTTTTACTAGAACTTTGTAAGTTAATCGGAGTAAAACCTCCATAGCTTCAATCTATGTCGCATATAAAAAAAAGCTGGTTGGCAAGTATGTGGTTAAACAAAAGTCACTATTTTTTATAAGCGACAAAGGTTATTCTTCTATCCTTGATAGCTAACTTGACTTAAATTTACCGTTTAGTGATAGTGGTGGATGTCTGTATGGTGACGACTTTGTTTTGTTACAAGATGGTTCTCGAAAACAGTTGCGAAATCTACGTAGCGGTGATAAAGTCTACTCAGTTGACAAGCAAGGTAAACTGGTCAAAGATGAAATTATTATGATGCTACATGGAGGCCCAAAAGTTGAAGGTGAGTCATGATTTGAAAGCAAGATCAACAGCATCAGTAACATATTTTTTTTTGCATTCACCCTTAGCTCCATTTTATACTTTGACTACCTCATCGAACCGAACTATTAGTCTAACTGGTTATCATCTAATTATGAAGTATAGTCCTCAAGAAAAACGTTCACAGATGGTTGCTGCAAATGAATTGAAAACCGGTGATTATCTACTGATGAGTGACAAACAGCAAACAGAACCTGTTTCGATTATATCGATTGAACTTCTCTACAAAACTGGTATCTACACTCCAATGACATACACAGGAACACTTCTCATCAATGATATTGTTGTTTCATGTTACGTCAAGTATTTTAACAAATACAATGAATTGCACACACTGCTGTACCCATTTCGATTTTACTACTATTTAATGAAAGATATCCTTGGACTCAGTGAAGAACCATTTTCAACCGTTCCAAGTGTTGTCTATGGCGACGAACAATTCTATGGAACAGGAATGATTGGATGGTTACATCAATCGAAAAATATGGTTCGATTTGTCGGACAAGATTTATTAATCGGTACAATTTTAAGTATTTAAAAAGTTTACGACGGTTATAAACAATGACTCATAAAGAAAAACTTATCTTTTTAATTTGTGTGTGTGTTGATTTATTTGTTTTTAGTAACCAAGATGTGCTCTGATGAGAATTGATTCAAACAAATTCAAAAATAAATTAAAATGAATGTTCAGCTACTACGACACGTTTCGATCTTCCTCAAAGATTTCATCAGATGGCTTCATGTCATTTTTGCACAATAAAAATTATTAATTTTCAATCCTTAAAAGGAGAACATCCTAAAAAAGGATAAAATCCTCCGAAAGAAGGAAAACGAATATTTTGAAAAGGAAAAGCTCTTTATATAAGGATGGATTTAATACAAAGTGTTTAGATCTTGAGGGTGTGAGAGTGAGTTCAAGAAAACTACGATGTGTTTCGACCTTTAGCTAGGACGAAACGCGCGTCATGACAGCTTGTCTCACAACTGTTATACGTCGAATTTACTATTACATAATATGATTTTAGTATATATTATGTAACAATGCAAATATTTATTTTGGATTTATTTAATTCAAAATAGAGTTAAGCCATCCGATGACATCCTTAAGCAAGATCGAAACTATGATCATAGTAGCTTGTCTCACCCTCAATTTTTATTCCGAGTCATAGCTTATCTATCAACACATTCTCTTAGCTACTTTCAATCTAAAACACTGACACGTCAGTTACTAGAACTTTCAATCTAACCTTTCTATAGGTATCTATTTCATTTTGTTTATGGTATAGAAGATGAAGACCTTTTACAGATAGATATGGTCGACAATAAAAAGGCAATTAAAAACGTTATCATCTAATATTAGGTTGGCAAGAAAGTTTTGTCGTTTTCTTTAAAATTTTCATAGAACCTTCGAGAATGTTCTGAAAGTTTCTATATGAAGAATATATAAAGGGAGTGTGAATAGCTATCGAACGATATAACAGCTATCGATACGATATGGATGTCGATCGTGAAGCAGAAATGAATCTGTCTTGGAGAGAAATTTGAGTGCTTTTACTTCATGAATTCCTTCTGGGTCATAAAGCAACGGAAGCAACGAACAACATATGCAGGACAATGGGCCAGGATATTATCTTCACACGTACGGCACAGCGTTGGTTCAATCGATTCAACAATGGAAATTTTGAATTGGACGATTCATCTCACTCTGGAAGACCGGTCGAAGTGGATTTGGACCGATTAAAACAACTCATTGAAGACGATCCTCGGTTGACGATATGCTGTTTAGCAGAGCAACTCGGATGCTCTCATACCACGGTGGAAACACATCTGAACGAATTAGGAAAGACGTGGAAATATGGGGTTTGGATACTCCATGAATTATCGGCCCATCAGCTTCAATACCGACTTGATGTTTGTATGAATTTACTGACATCTCATCATAACTACGAATGGCTTCGCAATCTCATTACTGGTGATAAAAAGTGGGTGCTGTATATTAATTATACGCGCAAGTGCCAATGACTTAGCGTTGGCCAAACTAGTACAGTAACACCGAAAAACGATCTCCATCCGAAAAAAGTGATATTGAGTGTCTGGTGGGGTGTTAAAGGAATTATCTATTGGAAGCTGCTACCAGATGGATATACCGTCATCGCTGATCTCTACTGTCAGCAATTGGATCGTGTTGTACAAAAACTCAAGGGCAAGCAAGATCGGGTTTACTTTTTACATGATGACGCAAGGCCCCACGTTGCAAAGTCGATCCGCGAAAAATTATTGAAGCTAGGATGGGCTACCATTCCCCACCCACCTTACTCTCCAGACTTGGCTCCTACTGACTATCACTTGTTTCAATCTCTCTCCAATGACCTGCGTGAGAAAAAGTTCGATGACGAAAGCAACCTCAAAACGGACTTGGCTGACTTTTTCAGCCAAAAGTCTCTGAATTTTTACGAACGCTGGATCTTTTCTCTACCAGAGCGTTGGTAGCAGGTCGTAGATAGCGAAGGAGCATATATCATTGAAAACTAGTTTGATGTTTGAAAGAAAAAAAATGAAATAAAAATTTTATTAAAAACGACAGAACTTTCTTGCCAAACTAATATCTAATGTAATACCGATTATAAACTGAGCAAAGAGAAAATAAAAACACGATTTCCATTTGAAAACCGTAATAAACCAAAAATAATTCATTGAAAAATACAAGGGGGAAACAGCAGACTTTTGTACTTCAAGTACTTTGTGCTACTTTGAGCTACTTTAAGCTACACTGTAATTTTTTTTGAAATTCTCCTTTTTGGAAAATCGATCTCAAATAAGCTGAAGCATTTTTAAAGCTTTATGATTTATTCATTGAATTTTGAATAATTCGAAAATGCTTGATTTTTCAATTTATAGAAATTCAATTTGATTTTCGAAAAAATCCATTTTTTAAAAATCGGAAAATCAACAACTGATTTCACAAGATCTGAAAAATCGTACACATATTTACAGAAAATCAAGTTAACAAAAGCTGCGTAGTGGCTATTGTTCAGTTGGATATATAAATTAACCGACAACATTCGTCATTCATTTTCTTTCCGGCAGCTGTAGCGAGCAGATTAATAATTTATTCTATAGCTACAGTTTGTGTTAGTCCGTACTGTGTTGACGAACACAATCAATTATTTTTTAACCATGTAATTTTATTCCTCATAAGAGATAGAAGAAAAATTTCTAAAAATTTTTTTAATCAATATTCTCTTTATGAAGTGTTATGATATTAATGAATGATTGAAATGAAATGATTTTTTATTTTAGTTAAATTATTCATTTATGTAATTATTCATTCACAATGACATTAAGAATGATTGAAATGAAATAAATTTATATTTTAGTTAAATTATTTATTTATTTATATACAATGATATTAATGAATCATCGAAATGAAATGTTTTTTTATTTTAGTTATATTATTCATTTATGTAATTATTTATTTACAATGACATTAAGAATGATTGAAATGAAATGAATTTTTATTTTAGTTAAATTATTTATTTATTTATTTATATACAATGATATTAATGAATGTTTGAAATGAAATGTTTTTTATTTTAGTTAAATTATTCATTTATTTATTTATCCATCTGCAATGACATTAAAGAATGATTAAATGAGATGAATTTTTATTTCAGTTGAATTATTCATTTATTTATTTACAATGATATTATAGTGAATGAATAGAGTTGAATGGATTTATATTTAAATTAGATTATTTAATCGTTTATTTACGATGATATTAATGAATGGTTCCATCAAATGAATTTTTCCTTTAGTAAAATTATTTATTTATTTTATTTCATGAAATAAAATAAATAAAAGATACTTCATCATGATATGAAAATCAAATTTGATTTTCTAGTTTTTAGAATATGCTCAAATTGCTATACCGAATCCGAAATTCTAGGAATGCCTATATGAATTCACTCTTGATTTTCTAATTAGAAAATCAAAGTTCATATTTTTAATGTTTCGAATATCTTATTTTCAAGAATTTAGAAATTCATTGGCGAATTCATATAGGCATTCCTAGAATATCCTCGATTAAACTCTATAACTCATTTTCTAGTTTACAGTGTACTTTAAGCCTACTTCAAGCCTACTTCAAGCCTACTTCAAGTCTACTTCAAGCTACGTTAAGCTACTTTAAGCTACTTTAAGCCTACTTCAAGTCTACTTCAAGTAAAGTACTTTGCCGTACTTTTCTACTTCAAGTCTGCTGTTTCCCCCTTGGAAAAATATCACAATCCCATATGAATTGAACCTATATATTACTATTGTTCTTTCTCATTCTCAGTACACCCTCAAGCATTCATTCACCTATTTTTATTTCTCATCTTCATAGTTCCATATAAGCAGACGATAAAAATTGTCCGATGTGATCTTCGTATCATTAGAACGAAATCTACATACAATCGCATCAAACTATCTGATGATGACTCTTAAGCGAGGATGAAACGATCATCGTAAGACGCTTAGAATTATCTAATAAACTCACGTATTGATTGTTTGCCATCTAATGAGTTCCTTGAGCAAGGACGAAACCGGTCATGGCTACTTGCCTCATCCTCAAGATGGTAGCTGTTCTCACTATAGGGATTGGATTTCATCAACATATATCTTTCTATATATGTCAGTTATAAATTGGTCTTATGATGTTTTAATCATATAGATTATGTGCCATCTGATGATCTGCGTAGCTGCAGTGAAATCTAGATTATAGTAGCTGTTCGCACCCTTTTTCAAGATGAATCTACTTATATTCTTATAGTAAATATAGTATTATATATTGATTCTTTCGATTTCTCATTGTCTATTGAATCTCTTATACTGATACTTGTGCCACTTGATAAGATTTATTCAGCAATATAGAAATACCTGATATTGTGGTAGCTATACTCATCCTTTTTCACGGTGAATCTACTTATTTTCATAGTAGATATAGTATTATGTATTGATTCTCACAATATATCTTGTATACTCTGGATCTCTTATACTGATACTTGTGCCACTTGATAAGATTGATTCAAGCAACATCGAAATACCTGGTATTGTGGTAGCTATACTCACACCCTCACCCTCATCCTTACCCTCATCCACCCCTCAAACTTAGAAGTGAGGAAAAAAGCGGAAATACTTGAACTGGGTAAAGTGCAGGGATAACGACATTCTCTCCGTGTGGTTGTAGGAACTGCTTAATATTGGATACTGTTGTTCATGTCGTCTCTAAGATCGAATAGTATGTGAGATATAATATAAAATTTTAAAAAAAACGCTATTTTTTAAGCCACAAGTTGACGAAAATTCTGTCTTATTATTACAGTTTTTTGTCTGGAATATTGTTTATAAGAGATTTACAAATATTCAAATAAACAGCGATTGAATTTAAAACATATACGAATATTTTGTATTAACAACATATATTCAAATAGGAAACAAATGTTTTTGACTATAGTGTGACACAACCTTCTGTAACTAACGATGAATATTATTCCGACACAATATTACTTAATCGATAAATGATGAAAAAATCTAACAATCGGTCATGTTCTATTACTTTCTTAAACGTCTAAAATAATTTCTTTGAATTCAGTCTTTTTTGTACCCTGTTGGATGAAGCTAGCACAGCTATAGATGAAAATAATCAGAATGTAAAACAAAGGGCTACACGTCTATTTAAATAATTCAGTGTCACTACTGTTTTGCTAAAATTGCTAGCTAAGTACGAAAAAAAACAATATCAAAGCTTTTAAATAGTTAAGGCCTTTTTAAATAGCGAAGTTTTATTAAAAAAGTATCTGTTTCGAGAATTTTAACCCTTTCGCGGCGGGGTTATTTTTTAGTGAACAACTAGTTCATATTTGATGGGAAAGTAGTCGTTATTATACTTTGTAAAAAAAAAAACTTGTGCATTTGACAGTTAAAGTGATTCTTAATATTGCTGGAAGTCCTAGCAATCAATTGGTTCCACCGTTTATAATATAGGTTTTATTAGAAGTCTTGCAATGTATGATAGGTCTGAAAAAAGGATGCAATGCATCAGTCAACATTTCATTCCCTGTACTCATGGTTCATCTTTGCTTCCTGTTCTAGACCATGTGTGATGTGGCTGTAGGCAAAGCAAAGTTTTTAGCCATCAACAGAGCTTTCCACTTTTGACGGAAAATGTGTTGCCCTAATGCGCACAGACATCTCTATTGGTCATTATCTGCAACAGCTCGATTTTTTAGGGCCAAATTCTTCCACGAGTGTCGAACTACTATCAGTTAAAAGCGAAAAGAAGCAATATTTTCTTCGGTTTTCAGTTCGTATACCACACAAGCATTGAAGCGCGAGATATCGAGTAAATGGAAGTATAAAACTGCACTTTGAGTAAAATTTGATATCTGTAGTAGAAGGGAAATGTCACTGTCCCATATATGGGACGCCCGCCGCGAAAGGGTTAAATAGCCAAAGCTTTCTTTAAATAGAGAAATGTTTAATTAAAAAGTATCTCTTTTGAGAAGCTATGGATAGAATACGCTGTATTGGCCTTTTCTGACGTCGTATACAACTGTTTACATTAGTCGTCATCTTCTTTGTAGCTGACGTCATAGTAAAAAGTCAGCACGATTGTACTAGATCATTAGTACATTCGACGTTTTTCACCTGTCGGATCCGACATCCGTTAACATCCTGTCGTAATCCTGTATTAAGGAATTCGAAAACTTTCGACAGAATTCTGCTGCAAACTATCGGATTATTTAGAGACACCGTAGAATTCGACGATTCAAGGCCGAGATTCTTCGTTTGGGAACCCCAAAACTCTCCTTTTTTTTTGCTCGACAACCCATATTGATAATTGTAGCATCCGATAAAGAATGAAATTCTGCACCTAACACAAGTTGTAGGACGAATTTGGACAAAAAAAAGGTCGAGGACAGTTCTAACTTTACTTACGTCTAGCCCTATAAGAACTGAGCTGAAAGCCTTCTCTGTGAATTTCTTTCAATTTCTCATTCTTGATTTTTCTTTCGACCAGGTTCATAAACCTCAGACAATATAGTAAAATTCCCAATTCATGAAAAATTTGATAAAGATATTAGTGACAAATCATTTGACAGTCTTGATAACTTTTCGAAAAGTCTCATCACATCATTGTACCATATCGTCATATGCGACTCTCTGCAGTTTGGCCAACAGTATGTTTGCCATTGGCAAAAATTACAATTGGCGAACAGAGGAATTGGCATTAAAACGTTATTCGTCATATGCTAAAGAATAAAGTTCATGGACAAAGGTTATCTGACTCAGAAGGTAAAAATGATGCCTGTTCCTTCTTCTTCTTCTTCTTCCTTAGGAAATGTATACCACTGAGAATTGATAAGCGCGACTTTTTGAGAAACTTTGTCCTATTTAAATGCTCGTCTTTCTCGCTATTCTTCACACAATTTGACTCTACAAGTGCTCAAACAAACTTCATTGATCGTATTATAACACATTTAATAACACCGTCAATCAAATCGGATCATGGCCACCGCTCTCGAAGTGCTAAAACAAGCTGTGGATATAACCACAATTCCTGCTGAGATTATCGAAAAATAAATGTTTCCAAAAGCGGTACCTCAAACTCAATGGAATCAGCAAGTAAAAGAATTTCTGACTAATACCGATGATGATTATATAGTGATCGAAACACCCTATGAAGATATGCGCAAAATTGAAGATTTATTCGAAGCCGAAAACGGATTTTTTCAATACCTCATATTATTAATACTAAATATGAATATTGCTCGAACTGTCAACGTCGAAACAACTTTTTGGATGTTGTTGCTACTGGTCTCAAAGTCCATAAACCGAAATTTTTATTAGACGTATTCTCAGGCAAATATGATCATATAATTAATGATGCACCACACCAATGATGTCTTTTCTATGAATGTGACATTGAATTACCTCTAGGCACAACCAAGTTTTCGGCACCGAAACAACCATCGGCTGAACAAAGGGCAGCAGCTTACTATGGTTTCAGAGGTGGATATACTTATCGTTATTGAACAAAGAACATGCAATTAGGAAACGGGCTTGCATAAAATTTCTTTTCATCAATAAATGAGAAACGCACCTGTCCGTAAAAGCCATGCTTTAACAATCATGCGTTTCATCTGAATTTCTTTAGCTAAATGGCAGAATTGGATGAGAATCACTCGTCAAGCCAATATTTTGACATAGAACTTCGATATTTCTAGCCTCTATCCTATCCTGCGAAGTTTCAAATATAATGATATGAAATTGGTTTTTGCTGTACCACTTCATATGAAATGATTAGTGACCTGCTGAAATACAGGAAGCGACTGTCAAAGATACATTCGATGTTGGTTGTTGAGATATTTCGAGGTGCGTGAAGATTTAATCACTTGAGAGTGAAAATGGATTAGTCAATCGTCAATTATTCACGCCATTGTTCGTAATGATATTGTGTTTCGATCGATAACGATGACAGATTATTTTCACTCCGTTTTATTGCATCCTGGCGGAAGATTTTTCCCGAGTGTAGTGAGCTTATGTCTCGTTGTTTTATTGATCTGCCCAAATATTGAATAAAAAACATAGAGTACAGTGTTTTTTCCATTATGAAATATCTCTTTGACGTGTATGCCAAGATAGAAGAACACATAGGTTAACATTTCGCGAAAAAAAACTTTGTTAGTCATGGTTAGGTCTAGTTTAAAAATTGAAGCGAATGAAGTGAGACATGATCAGAATATTTCATGGGTCTATGCGTTCTTATTAATCGGTACTATTCACAATCAAATACAGGATGTTCTAAAAGCTTTTTCGTATAACTTCACTATCAATTGAACTTACTGAACTAATTACTTTTTTTTAAAATGATAGGTGAGTTCATCGAATTTTTATTTACATGGACAAACTTCGAAAGTACTGTTGCAAATTATCAATTTTAAGAAAAATCTAAAAGTTTTAGTCTTTTTTTCTATTCCTAGAAATTCTTATGGATGATTTTCCTTTCAAATTGCTTGAATTTCTTAAACTATTTTGATCTTCAAGTCATCCAAATCTCGGATAGTTATTTTGTAGATATTCGTCTTGATACATATTCATAAAAAGGAATGGAGTGCTGTCTAGTCAAAATTCAGTTCTTATCTGTTAAAATACGTGTGATTATTGCATGTCATAGTTGACCGTACACTAAAGACTAATGGTAAAAATCAAATTCAAGCAATGAGTCTGCTGACTTTCAGTTGAATGTTGCACCAATTGAGTTATCCGGTCAAGTTCAATCGGTAAATGATGACATGCAGAATTCTGTATACGAGGGTACAGTTGTCAGTTCTTTCTCGAATGAGAAGGCTATCTTTGACTTTTCTTCTTGACTTTCATGTTGGTTGTTTTCCAGTTTTTGTTCATTATTTCTCATGGCAGAATGTCTTTAGATTTTGTCAATTTAAATAAGAACTTATAAAAATATTGAAGCTAGATATTGTTCACTATCTTTTATGAAATTGTTCAATTCTGTTTTAAAATGTCTTCTTTATTTGATTATTTTCATAACAAAAAAAAAAAATTTGTCTTTCTCTTTCAATTATTTATCATTCTCTCATGCATTGTGACAATTTGTAATAGTAGCCCTTTTTAACAAGTAATTGATGATGAGTTCCACTTTCAACAATATGTCCATTGTGAAGAACACATATTAAATCCGCATCTTGTATAGTCGATAGACGATGTGCTATAACGATCGAAATACGACCGATTATTGCACGAGTTAATGCTTCATTGACAATCTATATCAATCCAAAAAATATTTTGATGAATTCGAAAATAAATATTCCTTGCCTTTTCATTTTCACAATCGAGTGCCGATGTCGCTTCGTCAAGTAAGATCAATTTTGGATTTCGAATTAAAACTCGACCGATTGCTATACGTTGCTTTTGACCACCTGATAATTGATCACCTTTAGAGCCAACACATGTATCATAGCCCTATTTTCGCAAATAGTATATGAGGATATTTTTTGAGATTAAATTAGAAAAAGTGCAGTAAATACCTGCGGTAATTGTTGAATAACATCATGAATATTGACATTTTTAGCTGCTTCGATAATCTCGTCCATTGTTACATGCCGTGATAAATCACCATAAGCAAGATTTTCTGCAATCGATACATTGAATAGTACCGGTTCTTGTGTGACCATGCCAACTTGAGAACGCCACCAATTCAAATTAACACCACGAAGATCTTTCGAATCGATATGCTAAATAGAATGACTCGAATAGAATATTTATATATCAATAGAAGAATCTTTTTATACCACTGATCCACTTTGAACATCATAAAAATGTTCAAGAAGATGTAACAGAGTACTTTTACCATTACCACTCGTACCTAGATAAGGAATTGAATATTTTTTAAATTGTATTTCTGTATCTCTAATAGTTATTCAAAACTCTAATCGTCACAGTCATTCCTCACTACCAAAGAAAATAGAATTTACCATTTAGTTTTGAAAAGCACCTGGCTTATTTTTATTCAGAATGGAAAATGTGCTTACAAACATTTTTATCTATTCGAATGTATTAAAAAGTTATGATTTTTAACTGAAATAGTCAGAAAAAAATGGATGTTCGTTTACGGAAATAATTAATTTATCAGAACTTACGAGGGAACCTCTTTAGGTGTTAAATCACTTTCGGCTTGAGACTATAGCCGTTAGATAGATCCTATAGAGATGTGCTCAAATCCATAAATGTTCGGGTGCATGGGCCTCTGGAATGAGATATTAGATTTTCTTAGGATATTTTTCTAATGAGGCCTCAGTATTCGAGAAAAATCAAACTTTGGAATTTAGACCTGAAACTTTGCTAAAATAAAGATCTTTACTAGAATAGATATCATACAAAATTTCAGACCTGCAACACAAACCTTTCGTGAATTATAAACTAGTCAAAATACCTCTGGTTCCTATATGGAGGAAGCTTGCACTTGAGGAACCAGTAGCTGACGAACGATTTGTGCTAAAAGTCTGAAATTTTGTGTGATATTTATTCTAGTAAAGATCTTTAATCGAGCAAAGTTTCAGGCCTAAATTCCAAAGTTTGATTTTTCTTGAATCCCGAGGCCACATTAGAAAAATACCCTAAAAACTTTAATATCTCATTCCCAGAGGTCCATGCACCCGAACTCTTATGGATCTGAGTACATCTCAATAGAGTCCATCCAATGGCTATAGTTTCAAGCCAAAAGCGATTTAACACCTGGAGAAGTTCCCTCGTAGGAAGACTTTTTGACTATGCTGCAGAAATCTGCCGGCGACAACAATCATATTGCCGAGCTTGACCTATTAAATGTAAGACTGTTGCAAGAAGAAATGCAATGGAAATCTCGAAGCATGATCATTTCTTTACTACTTTTTCTTTCTCTATATGATAAATAAAATGTTTCAATGTCCAACATGGGTCAATTTTTTGCAACCCGATCTGAGTCGGACACTGAAATGTTTCTTTTCACCAATTTCAAAACAAAAAAAACTTTAATTTCAGAGACTAACCCACAATTGCCAATCGTTGACCTAGAAGAATAGACTATGAGATTTATCCAATAACACATATATATTCATACCACTCTTGATATCAAGATTAAAATTATTCAATATTGGTACACGTGGTCGTGTGGCATAAGCAAAATTCACTGCTCTGAGGTGAATATCACCTGTAAAGTTTTTCTGAATATAATTTTCGAAAAAAAATGTTCATTGATATTTTCTCACACTCACCAATTTCAATCCATGTGAATCAATGGATATTTTCGGTTCTCGAGCAAATAATGCAAGCATTTTTTGTGCAGCCGAAACAGCTTTGCCATAATCAGGTGCCCTTCAAATATCGAAATATACTTCATTTTTCAATTCATCTATTCTACTACAACAATTACTCACATCGCTGCACTATGTCCGACACTTTGAGCACCGAATATCATACAATTCATCACTCTATCAAAAGACACAATTTTAAATAAAAAAAAACTATTCGACTGACATCGTAATACTTTTAAATGATATCGCATTTTGTTCTACAAGAATACCACCATAAGAAAATACAGCTGCCATGGAAAAGAAAACTGTTGATGCGGTAAAACTATAAATTAGCGCAAAAATATGAACTTGTCTAATTGATGATCTATATACAAAAAAAAACACGAAATGATTGATTGATTTTTTTTCGTTACTAAGGATCAGAGGTGTGCACAGGACAAGATTTTTGGTCCTGTCCTGCCCTGTCCTGCTAGCCAGCTCTATCCTGGCGGGCGGTAGAGCAGGGCAAAAATTAATATCGCGTTCTGTCCTGTTGGCAATCGCTGTCCTGGCGGGCGGCAGGACAGGACAAAAATCAAAATCGCGTCCTGTCCTGTTTTGTCCTGCTAGCTTTTTGTGCTTTTATGGATGATAGAATAATGCATGACAACTTTGTCATACTTAGTTTTGCTTACTCATTCTATTTCTTTTCGAGTGACAGAGAGTCGATTACAAGAGCTCTTAATCTACCTATTATCATTCAAACCAAGCATTACTATTATTTATATGAGACTTGATTTATTGTTTACCATTTTCAAATACAAGAAAAAGATTCTCGATCATAAATTATTTTTTAAATACAACACAATATAATAACACCCTACTTTAATATTTTGATGGCACATTTATGACAAGAAAAAAATACAAAAAAAGAACACAATTGATTGTATCATAATTATCTTAATTTATACTAGATACTATCTATGAAAAGTAACAACAACATAGACTTTTATCCAAGAAAAAACAAAAAAAAAACAATGCTCTTATAATAATATTTTATTTTTTTGCATCGACCGAATTAATAAAACATTATCGAGCTGTTCTGGTTTTAAGTTGCTTCGTCGTTCACTAATAATTAAGCCGGCTGCAGAGAATTGTCTCTCAACACTAGCTGATGTAGCCGGTATTGAATGAATTGATCGTGCATATCGAGATAAACAGGGGAATTTGTCTTGGTGTTCCTTCCAAAATGGTAAAGGATCAGATTGCAGTTTTGATCGATCTATTTCAAAATTAAGATATCGATCAAGTTCATCACTTTTCTTATTACGAGATGAAATTGCAGTATCTTCTTCTGATTCTTCACTTTCTTCACCATCAGCAAAATTATTTGATTCGAATCGACTGAATAAGTCCTTTTTAAATTTCTTCTGTACTGGTTTATCAATTTGTCCTTGAATGAGTTTATTTGATTCAGTATTAATTAATTTTATTTGTTTACGAATATATTCGTAATATTCACAACGCTCTTTTGACGAACATAAAGTTAATGATCGGTATTTAGGATGAAGAGCCGTTGCAACATAATGTCTAATATCCAGTGTAAACATTTCGTTTAATAAACAACGAATTCTATTCCAGAAAAAATTAATACCTAAACATCAATAATATATTTTATACTAGAATACTAGAAGGCGCTTTATTTGCTTTACCTTGCAATTCATCCACCAAATCATCATCTAATACTGGTGATCCTTCTCTGGATCGTTCACCACCATCGGCAAGATTATAATCTAATAATGCTCTGTATGAGCTCATTGCATCTTTTAATGTCTGAATAGATAGTAAAACCATATACAAGGATGGAGAACACTCAGTTTTGATCACCTTAATAACGTGTTTGAAAGGCTGCAACAATAAAATGATTTGTTTTATTATCTTTTCATCAATACTACTGATTAATTTGTGTTGCTTCTTCATAATCAAATTTTTTTTGATTATTTTAAACGATTTTAGAATAGATTCTAAACTTTCAATCACCGATATCCAGCGAATAATGATAGATTGATGAACAGTTCCACCACCAGCATTTTCAATATCTTTGTTTAAACCACACTAAAATTAAATGAAGTAAAGAAGTTTTTTGGATTAGGAATATCAATGTGATGAGATTTACCTTCTTTATATATTTAACTATTTTTTTACATTGATTTAATGCTATTATAACACTACGTGCTTCAATGGGGATATCATTAATCGACATTTTACGTGCTAATTTAATATCACCATTCGATGAACCAATATTATTTATTCGACCCTTGTGCTTCGCTGGAACAGATGTTAACATATAATCATCTTCATCTTCGGATGATTGTTCACTTGTGAAAACGTCATTGCCGACTGATGAATTATCAATTTCTATTTTTGTTGTTGTGTAACTAATTGCAAAATTGTTATTGATTGTTGTTGGTGCAATTGATATTGATTTCTTTTTCTTGATGGTATTTCCAAAGAACGGCGTTTTTACAATATTATTAAGACGATGTCCGAAACAAAATAATCGTTTAAAATCACGAAATGCAGCAACAAAATTGGAGCCTCGATCTGATACAATATTAACAAAATCCAAATTATCAATACCAAATTCAATTAAATGTTCTTGAAGAACCTAAATGAAAGTAATTATTAAAAAATTGTTATGAAATGAATAAATCTACATTATGAATTTTTAAAACAAAATTTTCAAGATACATTTTACAACTTTTTATTGAAAATTAAATCTACCATCATCTAGTCATGAATATATAGTTTTTAGAAATATTTGACTCATTTATTCAATAAAAAGTTAAGCGCTAAATGAAAATATTTCATGATTTTTAATACCAAAAAGAAGCTTTGAATATTGATCTGTTAATTACTCGCGGTAACTTACTTTAATAACTGAAGCACTTGTCTTATCACCATAAAATGGTCGACAAAATAAATCAATTGAAAACATTTTATGATTTGCATCAACGAATACAATATGCAAGCCCAAATACGAAATGTTTTTATAACAATCTGACCAGAAGTCAGGACAAATAGTAACAGCACGTGCTTTCAATGGCTCAATAAGTAATTGCTTGATATGTTGTCTGTATGATTCAGCTAAATCAGCGATGGTTCGTGCAATTGTAAATCGACTTCTAAGAATTTCATCGACGTCAACAACACCATATTTATGTCCTGACAAAAAAAAATTAATTAAATTTTTGACAGTTGAAAAGAATAAACATACCGATATTAATTAACTCTTATGCTAAGGCACGAAAACCAGCATCTCGTAATGTACAAAAAGGACGAATATCTTGGCATATCCATTGTGCAGATAATCTTTTAATATTATCTATATCTTTTTCATTTATTTTAACACATTTTTTGAATCCGTGTTGGGCTAAAGTTGCTTGTCGTGATGATGATGAATCGTTGCATTCAACCGTTATTGAAGAAGAACATGTTGTTTTAGAACATTTCGCTGCATGTTGCCTTAAACGTGTTGTTCCACTATTATTACCATAAATAAATGTACAATAACAATTGAAACAACTAACATATCCTGAGATTCTTTGAAATACACCATGTTCATCTAATTTT